CTTTTATTGTAAGTGGAAGCAAATCCTGGTCATTTATCCAGATACACTGAGAATAGAAACAACTAGTAATATTGTTTTAGTGCTAAATGTTTACAAAGTCATATATATAGTCATCACAAACGCTCTGAGTATAATTGTTTACATTGAGAATATTGTTGAGTGATTATAATTCCCTACTAGAAATATCAAAAGTGTCAAAAGCCTGAAGAACTATTCTTGAAGACTACTTTAAAAAATTAGAAGAATGCTCACCTGAGAGAGTTCAGACTGTGTTGAAAAACAAAGGTTGTCTTGCCAAATGCAGACTTTCAAGCTTACTTTAACTGAACAAACGCTACTGTTGCTTTTCTCATTTTCCTGGCAAAATGTACAGAAACTAAGGCGTGGCTCAAGACTTTTGCACAGTACTGTAATTCCTTAGCAGGCTGATTAGAACAATGCTAATGTCTTTTTTGCCCTGTGAGAAAAACGAACGGTGTTAGCACAGATTAAATGTCCGATCGTATATGTGAGAAATAAAAAGGTGGATATTTTTGTTTAGCAGCCGGTGTTAAAAATCATTCTACCTGTTCAGCTCCATCCATGACACAAGAATGAGAACAGGCTGGATATTTCTCTCTCAAAGCCAAAGTAAAGCTAAAATAGTGATTAGCAATACTCCACCAAGCAGCTATTCTCCAACAATCAGCACTCTCACCATCCAAAACCTTACTTTAGAAAATGTTGCACTGATGAGATTCATGAAGATTCATGAAGCCACAGAAATAGCCATAAAAAGCAGATCTTTTACTGACTGGATCTAAAATAACTGCATGTTTTTTTAATGTTATCTAACAATAGCAGTGATCAGTTGGAGAGGGCACAGAGACAGAGAGGCAGACAGAGTTATTTAGCAGTCATTTGTCCTTGGGAGTGTAATGAATTGTAAAGTGAACTGGCTACGGGCTATAATGCTCTCTCAGTGCAGCTCCCACGCTCATCACTCCACCCGGAGTCTGTCGATACCGTCCCGACACACCACCACATCATTTACGCTGCAGCAGCCAGCGCTCAACACTGTGAGCTACACGGCTACAAACATCTATCCAACCAGCATCAAACTACAGTCCAGCTGCACTAACACCCACAATATTCATCTACCAGTTAAATGAGGTACATAGGTTCATTATTACCCAACTGAATTTTGGTGGAGAGGTGGAGTTTGAGGAAAAAGTCATAAAGATCTGGTTTGGTTTGAGATAATTTTCTTTAAAGTTAGAAAATAAAGTATTGACTTTGGTGGGGATGCCTTGTCTAAGACACTTCTGGTCTCATTTAATATTAAAGCATGTAATGTTATGTTGTAATACTTCCCCATTCTTTTTCTTTCTGTCAATTCTTTCTTCAAACCATTAGATTTCCTGTATTGAGGTAATTCAAGTGAGATTACTTGCAGATTGTTCCATATTGGTCAGCCATGCTGGACAACCACTGGTTTCTGGGGAAAGATGTGCATTGACTGACTGATTAGCAGCGGTTCCTGGAGGTTTCTGGTTCTCACTGGAAAGAACGTTGCCTGTGGTTTTTCATGGTTGTCAGCAAACAGTCCTTAATTATTAGCCACATGGTAATAAAACTTGAAAAAGTACAACGAACACTGGAACTGGAGAAGGTTTGCCATCAAAGTAAAAGTTGTGATGACATTGTGACACATCCAAAGTAAGTAAGTAAATGTCATGTGGTTAGCGGTCACATGTCTGCAGAACCTCAGCGCTGAGTTGAGTTAGCTGGCTAAACTGCCCTGTTCTGCTATAACTGTGTAAAGTACATGTTTTTAGGGTGATGGGTCAAATTACTTTCACAAATGCGTTTTAGATAGTTTGAAGTTAATGAAAATCTTCTATTAGTCAGTCAGTATGTCTTTTATATCCTGCATGGTGACTAGCTCTAGAATTGCTGAAGGTGCTGATACTGCATTTAGGAACTGATAACTTATGCTGTGTACATGTTGACATGATCTCTGTGTTGTGTCCTGGGTCAGCCTTGAGAGCTCCTCCAGGTTGGACATGCCCCAAACCCCTCAAGCTCTGGCTCCTTTTGCAGGAGTACCGGCTCCTCTCAGAGTCCATGGTCCAATGAAATGCCACTTTAGTATGGCGGAAAGGTTTGCGTGCCTGAATGATCCCAGGAGCTGTGTTGTCCTTCAGCACCAGTTTTCTCCTTGTGTGGTCTCCAAAGGTAAAATGGTCCAGGATGAGGGGAAAGGACTATGTGAGATTCAGAAGACCACTTTGAAGAGAACAACAGTAGTCCATGTTACCTTGCCCAGCCAGGGCTCTGGGTTACCAGGGGAACCTCCCTGGAGTTAAGCCTGAGGGAGGAGCTAATTGGTGAGGGCCTTTTGGCCAGGCCTTCGTCTGTGTGACTCATTGGTCTCTGTGGGCCAGCCCTCCTGTAGGCGTACCACCCTCAGGAGAGCCTGTAGGGATCTGCTGCAATTTGGATAAAGTAGCATTCAGAAATGGAGGCCTTCACAATCCGATTCTCGGTTGTAAAAAGTGGTAATTGGAACATGGAATATTTATATTCAGTGCATGAAATACCTAGATTTTGGACTCTTCAGAGGGGGTGCATCACCTTGGCAACGGAGGAAAAATTGGAAAAACTCATTTTAACCCAAACCATGACTTTCGTTCAAACTTAATCTATTATATTTATTGGCTAAAACTAACCTGGTAGTTTTTAATGATAATAAATATAATATACATGGTGAGTCTCAGTTATAGGTATCATTTTTTACATTTTGTTGCAGTCCGTTCAGATATCAGCATTAAAAAGTTGCAAAAAGACTGCTGAGATTAAACAGTGTTACAATCATGTGGTATTTTGCAAAAACATCACTTGTTTAATATCAGACAAGCATAAAGGCTCACTTCCTCTGTGCTTCACGTTTTTGTCATGTGTTATTGCCTGTCCCCACACTGACGGTGAACAGTCAGAGACAGCAGGTGATGCGATGAGAGCTGAGATGAGATCAAATTTTAATGATCCCTGTGGGCAAATTGCATCTTTTGTTGCAGGAGCTGAGGAGAAAACACAGCATCCTTGGTTTGTTACAAAGGACGCACAGATTAAAGTCTTTGTCTTTTGGGTTTCACTCGCAGGAAGGTGCCAAGACGAATGTCCGCAGGATGAAGAAGTGATTTAGGGAATCTGCACACTTAATGCTGAACACCTTCAGCCAAACTGGCCTTAAAGGCTCAGTTCACATTCATATCAGTGGAAATGTTTCTTAGCTGTTATGCTCACACTCAGAAATCCATATAATGATTTTACACCACATTTATGTTAGCACTTGTAATTTTGGCAAGCAAGCTTTCTTATTATTATTATTATTTGGCAAGCAAGCTTTCTTATTATTATTATTATTTGGCAAGCAAGCTTTCTTATTATTATTATTATTTGGCAAGCAAGCTTTCTGTATTATTTTCAACACCTCTTTATTTATTTATTTTTTTTAAAGAAACTCTTTCCTTTCCTTATTTCTAGTTTATTCAGTCATGTGTATTAAATTATTTATATGTCTAATGTAAAGCCCTATATGACATAAATAATTAAACAGATTTGTTTAGAAGGAACAATTAAATCTTGTAAAGCCTTATATTTCAAATTTTGGTTGGAATAGGTCTCACTATATTCTGGTTGTGTCGCCAGTAGATCAGGCTGTCAGTTAAGTTAACAATAAAAATTTAATTTGAATATGAAGAACTTTTTCATGGTGGTGTCTTTAAAACTGGACAAGATGTGCCACGGAAGGCCTTGTAACATGACAGAAAGCCCCAGAACAGACAGACTCCTTCCCAATGTCAATAATGACCTTTAAGCCTTGCACTGCACAAGTACAGCACAGTCTTTACAATTTCAGAATTAATTTATCACAGTTTGTGAGAGTAATATACAGACAGACAATACTGCAATACCATAAATTCAGGAGGAGACATGTCATACATGTTCTTGGTGACATCTTTAAAATATATTTAAAAAAATTAGATAAGAAAACAACATAAATATATTCTTTATGCCAGAAGCTGGGAAAAAGCAAATAACGGTACAGCAGCCAAAACATGAAAGAAAATCTATAATTTGAAAAAAAGCTTAAATGAAGCAGGATATGACAAAACCAAAAATCTGAAGAAGGTAAATAAATGACATGCAAAGCAAAAAAGTTTATTTATTATAATAAGAGCTCAATAAGTAGTTATGAGATTAAAGAAAATAAGACAGTTGGTAAAAAACTCTAATTTGGCTCCATAAAGTAAAATGGCTCAACAAATTTAATCAAATATCATGTAAACAGCTCAATATAGTAAAGTAAGGAGCTTAACGAGTAAAAATCAAAATAAAATATCTCAATAGGCCATGCAAAAAGATTAGTGTAATTCAATAACATTTAAACATTTAAAGTAAAATGCTATAAATTATCATTTAAAAAGAACTATAGCTAAATAGAGTAAAACAGCTCATTAAATACAATTAAATATTATATAAAGAACTGAATATATAATATTAAGAAGCCCACCATACAATTTTAAAACAATTGTATGATATACAGCAAAATGCCATGTAAAAGCTGAGTATCACAACGTAAGAAGATCAAAACGTGGAAATCAGACTAAAATACAGTAAAATGTGGTGTATAAAGTTCATTGAGTAAAATATCTCAATAACTTTAATAAAAGAAAATAAATAAATAGATAATTAAAATAAGCACAGAAAATGGCAGGGGACTGGTCTTTATTTTTTAATCAAAAATGTTAAACTAGTACATAAAAATATGTATGAAGTCTTCTTTAGACCGATATCATAACAGCGGTTATCCCGCCCACAGCTGCAATCATTAACGCTGATTGGCCTGTCTTTCAGTCAACCACGCCCCCACAGTCCTCTCCGTCCCTCTAATTGATCTCTTCCACCGTCAGTCACCCCGTATACGAGTTCGCCTCTCCCCCTCCGCCTCCTCACCCAGCAGGTTGGGTTGAGAGGTCGGCTAGGGGACCGTGGACAGCTCCCGTCCGAGGAGCAGAGCAACACAGGAGGAGGAGAGGGCTGGATATGGGGGAGCCACCGCACAGGCCCGTATGATCGAGATAAAACACTTTTTACAAAGAGAGCGAGCTGGAGAGGCCTTAAGGAGGACCGGGGGGGAAACACACCGAGGGAGTGGAGGAAACACGGGGACACGGCTACTGACCCATCCCGGCGCATCACGGGAGAAGCGGCGAGAGAAAGGAGGAGAAGAAGGAGAGATAATTCTGCTCGACCTGATGGACTGAGAGGACAGATGAATGAAGACTGCCTACACTAACGCCTATAGATGCCTGGCCAAGGACCTGGACGCTTACGCCATGAACACGGACATGACAATGGACGGCATCGGCAGCCTGCATGGCGGGGTGGCGGTGAGCTCCGTGGCCCCTGATGCGGAGCTGATGAGCGGCCACAGCCCGCACCACGGCCGCGGAGGCTCGTCGGGACCCGGAGCGGCGGCTGCGGCTGCGGCGGCGTCCACCCTGCGGATACACCAGGACCTGGCTGCCGCCGCCGCCGCGTCCTCCCGCTCGGCCATGGTGTCCGGCATGGCCACGATTCTTGACGGCAGCGGGGAGTACCGGCCGGAGCTGTCCCTGCCGCTGCACCACGCCATGAGCGTTCCCTGCGACACCTCCTCTCCCGGGATGGGGATGAGCGGCACCTACACCACGCTCACCCCGCTGCAGCCGCTGCCCCCCATCTCCACCGTGTCCGACAAGTTCCACCACCACCATCACCACCACCACCACCACCAGCGGCTCTCCGGGAACGTGAGCGGGAGCTTCACCCTGATGCGCGACGAGCGGGGACTGCCGGGGATGAACAACATTTACAGCCCCTACCACAAGGACCACATGTCCGGGATGGGTCAGAACCTCTCCCCGGTGCTGGGCAACGGCCTTGGCTCCATCCACAACACCCAACAGGGTCTCCACAATTACGGCACCACGACGCACGGGAGCCACGACAAGATGCTGAACTTCGACCACACAGCCTCTATGCTGGCCAGAGGGGACCACCACCACCAGCACCGAGGCCTCGGCGCTCCGGCTGGCGGGATGATGCCGCACCTGAACGGAATGCACCACCCGGGACACCCGGTGGTTTCCTCGGCGGGCCACCACCCCCACTCTCACCCCCACCTCCAGTCTCCATCCCACGGGCCCGTGTTGGCTTCCACCCGGGAAAGAACGCCCTCCTCCTCGGGGACGCAGGGGGGGAACAGCTCGGGACAGCTGGAAGAAATCAACACTAAGGAGGTTGCGCAGAGGATCACGGCGGAGCTCAAGAGGTACAGCATCCCCCAGGCCATCTTCGCCCAGAGGGTGCTGTGCCGCTCCCAGGGGACCCTGTCGGACCTGCTGAGGAACCCCAAACCCTGGAGTAAACTAAAGTCAGGCCGGGAGACCTTCAGGAGGATGTGGAAGTGGCTGCAGGAGCCCGAGTTTCAGAGAATGTCCGCGCTCAGACTGGCAGGTAAGAGAGGAAAACAACCTGAGCTGCTCTGCTGCTGCTGCTGCTTTGATTTGTTTTTGTGCCACAGCGAGAAGAAAAAGGAGAAATCCTCCACATTAAAACAAAAATATCCTCAAATGATTCCTCAGCATTTATCACTAGCTGACTTTTAATCTTCTTGCTGGCTTTATTTTGGTTGGTTTCTCTCTCTTTCTCACTCCTCGTGGCGCCTCACGCGCCACTCCAATTTAGGTGAATGGGATTTATTTAGACTCACCGGTGCTATGATTACCATTATTGATCAATAACACAAAAGGATCGATGGGAAATGACAAGGTCATGGGATTTCCCTCCAACAATCCTCCTCTTTCAGTTTCCAGTCCCTCCATGGCAGCGAGGAAAACGCTGCACTAACACAAAAAATCTACTAGTTATTCTGCTTTAAATAACACCCAGATTAATAATAAATATATTTAAAATTCCAAGAAAATAAAACAACAATAAAACCTGCTAAACATCGCACAGTATTTTTGGTATAATTTGTGGTTGTTAATGTGCATCCGCGGGTGTAAATATATATTCTCAGGGCTGAACATTCTTATAATGCTGGTGTTTTTACTGTCATTAGCTCCTTAAATGCTTATTGCATTGCGATTGCATTAGCATTTGGGTTGAGAAGTGTGATGGGGGCGTTCAGGAGGATCTGTTTTTGATTGTGTGGAGCTTGAAGCGATCAGAAAGCTGTGACATAAACACACGAAGGTCTGCAGAATCGGTGGGTCTGGTGCCCCCTCTAGTGAGGAACCTGTTCCCTGTCCCAGCCTCTATTGTCTGCAGGAGCAGCACTAAAACGGGCCAGTTCCCCCTTTTTAAAGGTCAGGTCATGGAAAGGCTTGCATTTAATTTCACACCAAGATGTGATAAACGTTTAATGTTTCTATTGGGATTTGGTCATCTATATATCACAACAGAGACATTTTCTTTGAATATGTAGTAATTTTAGAGTCTTAAATTATATCAAAGGTTCTTTATTTTCATGTTAAAATGTAAAGCGCAGCACAAGTGACAGCAGTATTTGTATTTACGTGGTTTAGAATAAGACTTTAAACTACCCACTGCACGTCCACATCTTAATGCCTGCATACTTCATAGCTTGCTGGGAGTAAATTATAGCTCCACATCATTTCAGCTTTTTTATTAAACTTTTTTTTAGTGTCTCCCACGATACGAATATGCCTTTATATTGTTTTTACATGCAAAAACAGAAAAAACAAAGAGAGGCCAGTTTATTTAAATCACATTAAAAATGATTTTTTTCATGTTAATCTGAAAAAAAAAATGTGTTTTTCATTAGGGCTGCATTTTTTTTTTTTGCTATAAACTGCATGATTTATGCACTGTGAGTGATTCAAAATTACTTTTTTTTGCACAGTCATTCACACATATGACTTTTGCTGTTTTTATATAAGTTAAACAAGATCCCATATTGTTAAAATTGTCTTTACTTTCATTATGTCCCATTAAAAGCATAAATGATGAGTGTTTATATTTATCTGGTTTACCATAAGACTTTAAATCGTTAAAATTATTCTCTTTTTGTTTGTTTTAAAAATATATGCCAGGGTTTCTTGTGGCTTCAAAACTCATTTTGAAGTTTTAAATATGCAGATACTGTAAGTACAAATGCTTCGCATATACATAAAGGCAAAAAGTGTGTGTTACCTCACCTGATAGAAATCTTTGTATTTTCCTCTTATTTCTGACCATTGTTAAACAAACATGAATTCAAACTTCAGTAAATTATGCCCTGTTAAAAACACAGATTAAAAATGTTTTTCTTTAATCATAAAACTGCTGATTTTCCTTTGGAAGGAAAGCCAAAACTCTGTGCCGAGATATTTTAGGTACAGGAAAGGTGCCTTCACATTTTTTTTATATATGCAAAATTATAACTATTCAAAAGCTGAGAAAACACAAAGACAATCCAAAATATTACAAATTATTACATTTACACTAAGCATACTTTATCGTCATGGTGTCCTGGCTTAAGCGAAACGGTATTTATAGTTACCTGATGTGTGAAGTTTGTAATTATTGCATATTTAAGCTATAACCTGCATATTTTCAGTGGTGCATTCACCCTTGTTGTGTTAAATCTATAAGCTTAATTTATATATGTAGTGTCAGTGCCTCACTCTGTGTAAATATGCTTTTACATTGTTTTTATTTATGCAAAATTCCAAAGAAAACACAAATAAACATGAGATTAAAAAGTAAGAAAGAAGAGGAAATATGAATGAAATGGATGTAAAAACTGTGTGGCAGCCCCAACAAAGATATTATTATTATTATTATTATTATTATTAGTAGTAGTAGTAGTAGTAGTAGTAGTAGTAGTAGTAGTAGTATTTTCACTGTACTGCTTAGGTAAACCATTAAACATCAACTTTTTATGTTTCAAGTTTAAATGATAAATAGTTTTCAAAATGCATCAATTTGTATTTTAATTCTTTTTTTTAATAAAACCCCCCCCCCCATATACCTTGTTTTTAAATTTGGGAGGCACGTGGCTTTCACTTTCAAATAAAAAGAGTGACATGTGGAGCAGCAAAGTGACAGATTTGTGAAACATTCAGTCGCAGGATTTCTGACGAATAGACTTTGTAGAGTTTGGGATACTTGGGAATATTATAATCTTTAAAAGCTTAAAAAAGATTCTCAGGAACAATGTCTGCCTGTATTTTGCTATCCGCTGAAATCCACTTCAGTTTTATTGGTTGACTCAAGTTAATTAATCCCAGCTGCCTTCATAGGAGAAATAATCAGCACCGAATTAGTCTAAATAAAGAAATCTGGTAAATGCTCTGTTTTAGGGGATCACTATCTTTTTCATTTTAATTATGCTCTTGATTTCAGTAGCTCTAAACAAACAAAAGTACATACAAGATACCAGAGAACAAATGCAGATTTACCTGGAAGTAGTATTAAATTAAAATCTTTGTATTAAAATGATCATGATAAGGAATTCTTACCTTTTGTATTTTATTTTTTATTCATCATTTCCGTAAATAATCACTGTAAATTGAAAATGTTCATTATAAAAGTAATAAAAACTATAACGTTTTGATAAGTTGCACATTTACATGCTTCATTATGAGTTTGTAAAATCTCCCACACAGACTAATGAACCCTCTAAAACCTGCATGATTATAAGCGCATACAGTGACACTAAGATGATAGCATACAGCATTCAAATAATCATTTTATACATTTCTTTAAGTCACAGATAAATATATTAAATCGTTTTCACCGGCTTAATGTCTTTATAGATTAGTACATTTTTAAATGTTATATCTAGCTGCTTTTATAGAGTCGGTGTAATATCCAACAATAAGTCTTCAGCATGGCTGTTTTATGGGTTTTCTTTTGTTTATATACATTTCCAGGACTTTCCATGAATATAGGATATTGATATTGGATTTTGTGGGTGAAATTAAGTAAATTGAAATTGATTCCTTTCACTCCTGGATATGTGCATTTGTCACATGTGTGCGTCTCTTCAGTTTTTCATTCATTAATTTTTTTTCCTTTTTAATAAACTCTATTTATCCAAAAATATAGATATGGTCTAATCTAATAAATATGTTTGTTATCATACAGCGCATATGTCTTTCAATTTATATCATTACAGCTTTCTTATAATACTCATATTATCATAATATTTTAATTAGGTTTAATTATTGTTGCTGTAATGAGATAAGAGATAAAAAAAAAAAACACTTTATGTCAAGAAAAAAATCTACCAAATAAGAACACAAATCAAAATAAATGAGGCAAAAATATACAAATGATGAATGATTGGGTCAAATTTGAAATTAAACATGTATTTATTCATCTATACAATGCAGTCATATAACAAAATATTATTAAAAGATTTATCCAAATAACAAAAACAATTGCACTTGAGAAATTCAAATGAGTACGCAGTTAATTAAAACAAACAGCTTGTTTATTAGTAATATGTCAATGTAAAGGTGTTCCTACATTTTCCTAAAACTATATATCTTCTGTTGTTTTTCCTACTAATAATAACATCGTAACAGCATTTTATGAACTTATGTCCTCTCTTATTTTATTGCTGTGATAACCCTTTTTATACCTTGTGAATGTCAGTGTTTTGCAGGGTTTTTATTAAGAGTTTAAGAAGATTTTATCTTATTCTTAAACCTTCAGATCTGCCGTGGTTTCATCTGACACATCCTATGATGTACTTTGTAATATGATGCAACCAGTTCAGTATCCTTCTGAGTTTTGCAGAGACAGAAAAGGTCTTGACTATAACAATGCGTGACATCAGCCCAACATGGAGCGCTGATTCTTTAACATTCGATTGGAAATCAGTATTTAAGCAGGCTGGATTTGTCTGTAGATTGCTGATGTGGATGAGATTATCTCTGCAGGATTTGACTGTAATTTCATTAGGGGTTCTTTGATTTTCGATGCTGGTATTTGACGATACAGGTTAATAGAAAATGACAGGAGAGAGTGGGTGAAGGTTGGAGCTGGAAGAGAGCAGGGGAGTGTTCATGTGATCTGTGCTCCCCTGTGTGTTGTAAAATGTCACAGGGCAGCCTCACAGTTATACTTCTGTCTGAGTGAGCTGCACTCATCTGCTTTCCCTAGGATTAAACTGCATATCTCACACTCTCGGTCTTTTTTAACTTCAAATCTTTGCAAAGCCTGCAGTTTATTATACCAATGCTAAAGATTCTTCTTATTTAATTCTAAACATTGAGAAATATAATATAATCCTTTTTTTATTTAGGTAGTTAACTAAGTGTACAATGTCTGATTTATAGAGTAAAAGGTAATTAAGTTTTCTGTTTATTAGTGTCTTTGTTGTCTAAAGCTACACTGGAATTCATGTAATTTAAATGGCTGTATAATGAGAAACCTATGATAACATACTGTCATTTATCTAAACAACTGTAGTATGTGTAAGATACTGCACAACCTTTTAC